TCTGCACCATCCAAGGACACTGAGGTTAGTGGTGGAAAATGGTGGCGTTGTAGCGTCAGAACCTAATTCAAGGGGGACAGTGAGAATGGCCACCAGCACAAAGGTGATCCCTGTGAGGCGGAGGTCAGAGGTGCCTCTACTCACCAGTCTCTATACCATCTGCCTTTTAACCAGATCCCTGGCATATATGTCCGTACATAGGAGAGTCAACTGGGAATCTTGTTACAGTGCAGACTATGGGTCACTACATGCACATTCGCAGCAGGGGGTCCAGCCACAGTGAACCGGTTCAAAGCCCTGCTTTCCACCAGCTCTGACGCTGGCTGTCTCGCTCACTGCACTCTCCACTCTCTGCTGGGTTCCATAAACCGGAAGGATGGGGGTGAGGCAGTGGCCTCACCGAAACTCACAAACCTTAATGGGTGTACAAAGGCCATGAGGACAGCTTCTTCCTCTGACCTCTAACTTCACGAGAAAACCAACAACCAAACTAACCGGCATCTAGTCAGTTCTGACTCAGTGACCCCCATTGGGTTTCTGAGACTGTAAATCTTTACAGAAGTAGATTGCCCCGTCTTCCTTCTGCTGGTGGGTTTGAACTGCCGACCTTCTGGTTAGCAGCCAGATGCCTTGTCCACTCTCCTGACTATGAGGGGAGAGAAAATCACCACGAGCGGCCCAAGGCTTCCTATGGGGGGGGGGGTCAGACAGGCTGCCATCCCCCAACCTTGTTACCAACTCTAACACCAACTGTCCCTCCAGGGCACTCTCTACTTCATGCTGGGTTCAGTAATTCCTTGCAGTGGCCACCCAGCTCATAGTTGATACTGACGATTATGTGTGGGGTTTATTAGGGAAGTAACAGGCTACAATTCAGGTTCAGGAACCTGCTCAGGATACAATTTCTCTGATCAGGACAGTCTCCCCTCGGCCATGCCCACGGGCGCACCCCTCTCTGGCCCTTGACCTTTCAGCCTGGCCCCCTCCCTTCGCAGGAAAATGCTACAAAGCTCTTTCAGCTCTGCTGAGAGCTGCGCCCACTCCTCCAGCAAGCCGCCTGCCCAAAGGCACTCAGCTTTCTCGCTCTCTGGGCTGGCAAGCCTGCTGCGTTGTCTGGTACCAGTCTCTTGCTTCTGCTGCCACCATCTCTGCAGTCTCAGGGCAGGGATCTCGGGTCCAAGAATACACTTCACTGCTGCTTGTTTCTTGATTATACTGAGATTACACACACACACACACCCCTGCCTCTGGGAGGGCTCATTTTAAGCCTTGTTGTTGTTGTTATGTGCCATCGAGTCGGACCTGACTCATAGCGACGCCTCCTTGGCTTTCCGAGGCAGGATCACTACAGAAGTAGATTGCCCCATCTTCCTTCCGAGGAGTGGCTGGTGGGTTTGAACCGCCAGCCTTCTGGTTAGCAGTCAAGTGCCTTAGACACTATGCCACCAGAGCTCCTAGTGAGATGACAACACTGCCCACTCCCCACATTAGGGTTCCATCCACCTTATTTGCATGGTCCCCCACCCTCGAGGGCGCCATGTACCTTATTTGCATTAATTACTCACAAGCTGTCCAAGCCCCTTGGTGGACCACAAGCACCTCACATTTGCATAGTTCCAGCCAGTCATCTGATGGTCGCCACAAAGACCATGGCAAGAAGAGTCATCCCAAGTGATTCACCCCACAAGTGGCTTATTAAGGAAGAAACAGGGTGCAATTTGGGATCATGATCTGGAAGCACAGAACCCCTGAATTTGTAGCCAGCAGGTCAGAACTGTGGGTGACCTGGGAACCCCCCCCAAGCTTGCAGTTGGTGTCTGAAGTCTTGGGTAGGTATGACCCATGCAGCGTAGCCTAGCTGCAGAGTGGTTGGCGCAGAAATGCATGTTCCAGGAGTGTTCCAGGCAGAGGAGGGGCAAAGGCCCTAAGGCTGGCGTGAGCCTGGTGTGAGGGAGGAGTTGTCGGTAGATGCCATTGAGCTGGTCCCAACTCACAGCCACCTCAGTGCACCTAATAAGCACCACCCAGGCCTGCACCGTCCACCCCCATGCTTGCTCCGTTTGAGCCTGCTGTTCCAGCCCGTGTCAGTCCATCTCACTGAGGGTCTTCCTCTTTTTTGCTGACCGTCTATTTTACCAAACATGACATCCTTCTCCAGGGACTGGGCCCCCCTGATCACATGTCCAAACAGGTATAACCAACCCAACCCAAAAAGGAAACAAAGTCTCAGAAGAAAATAAATAAAATTCTTTATTATATCCTAATCATGCAGCAAAAATGGAGATTAAATAAGAACAGGGAGAGAATGGGGGCCCCCAGGACAGCACGTAGGACCCCCTTTTCTTCCTGTCCCTATAAAAACCTCAGACCCTGATCAATAAATACCCATCCCCAAGGACCCAGACGTCCCAGCCCCAACGTGGTCTGGCTGGGGAGGCTTGGGTCGACCCCTCATTTTTCTAGGCTGTGATCTTTACAAAGGAGCCCTGGTGGCACAGTGGTGAAGTGTTCAGCGGCAAAGCGAAAGGTGGGTGGTTGGGACCCACCAGGTGTTTCCTGGGAGGAGAAAAAGCTGGCAGTCGGCTTCCATAAAGATGACAGTCTTGGAAACCCTGTGGGGCAGTTCCTCTCTGTCCTCTAGGGGCGCTGTGGGTCGGAATCCACTGGATGCCAGTGGGTGTGGTTTGGGCTTTGCTTCTGTGAAGATTGACAGCCTTGGAGACCCTGTGGTGCAGTTCCACTTTGTCCTCTAGGGGCGCTGTGAGTCAGAATAGTCTCCATGGCAGTGGGTGTGGTTTGAGCTTTGCTTCCATGAATATCAGCAGCCTTGGAAACCTTGTGGGGCAGTTCCACTGTGTCCTGTAGGTGCCCATGAGTCAGTCGGAATGGACTAGGGGCAGCGGGGTAACGGAATCTTCACCAGAGCGGGTGCCCAGGTCTTTCTCCCTGCCAGGGTTGAACCTCTGCTGCACCAGGGCTCCTCCTCCTCTCCCAGACGCGGGAAACCGAGGCCCAGCGAGCGTCCTCCTGCCTCCCCTTAGGCGCCCTGCTCGGCCTTACACCTGGACGCGGTAGGCGCCCGCCCGCCGCCGGCAGAGCCTCCGCACGCCCACCCAGTACAGCGTCAACATGACCACCCAGTACCCCACGTAGGCGCCGGCCCCGGCCGCCAGGTGGTAGGCCTCGGCGGCCCTGGAGGGGCCGCTCCAGTCGGCTGTGGCTTCCTGGACCACGCTGCGCACCAGGCCCCCGAGCAGCAGCGCCGCCCAGAGCGCCAGCGGCAGCACGGGCACGTAGTTGGCGGCCAGCTGGCGGCGGCCCGACGTGCCCCAGCCGCTCTGGTTCATGGTGGCCAGCGCCAGGAACTTGGCCGGCAGCAGGCCGCCCATGTAGAGCGGCGCGTACAGCGAGAGCAGCAGCATGCGCGCGCAGCCGCGCAGCCAGGCCGCGAAGGCCGCCTTGGCGAGCGCCACGCCCTGCACGCACAGCAGCACCCAGAGCAGCGCCCAGGGGCGGCCGGCGTAGAAGAGCCGCAGCACGGTGGCCGCCACGAAGAAGGGGAAGAGGCCCGACACCACGGCCTCGTAGGTCATCCACGCGTGGTGCCGGTGCCACCACAGCGCGTTGTACAGCCACTCGCGGAAGTACGACTTGGACCAGCGCGTCTGCTGGCTCAGCCAGCGCAGGAAGGAGGAGGGCGTCTCCGAGTAGCAGCGCGACCGCGACGTGTACCTGGGAGGTGGGGAAGAGGGGTGGTGTCAGGTACCTGGGAAGGATTCTGGGGCCAGAAATGGCCACCAGGGAATCCGGGGTAGTGGTTTCTTCATCTCTCCAGGCCTCAGTGTTCTCCTATGTAAAATGCGATCACTAATGGTTGCATTTGTCTGCTAACCAGAAGGCTGGCAGTTCAAACCCACCAGCCACTCCTCGGAAGGAAGATGGGGCGATCTGCTTCCCTGGTGATACTGCCTCGGAACCCCAGGAGGGTCGCTATGTGTCGGATCCGACTCGACGGTTAGTTTGGTTTGAGTTTTGGCTAGGAGGAGACCTGGTGGCATGGTGGTTAACAGCCAGAGCCTGGCTGCTAATGGGAAGGTAGGTGGTTGGAACCCACCAGCCACTGCCAGAGGGGAGAAAGATGAGGCAGTCAGCTCCCATTACCTCTTTGGAAACCCTGGGGGGCAGTTCCACTCTGTCCTCTAGGGGCGCTGTGGGTCAGAATGGACTCCATGGCAGTGGGTGTGGTTTGGGCTTTGCTTCTGTGAAGATTGACAGCCTTGGAGACCCTGTGGGCAGTTCC